AAACGGTAAACAGAAGTCAGCTTCTATACAATCCATGATACTGTATTTAGTAATCATTTGTTAACCATTTTTTATCACCTTTTTTCTATGAATGTGCATATCATGTTTATTTTAGCCATTTATAAATGTCCAAGCCAATGGCATTAACCACATTCACAATGTAACATCACTACTGCCCATCCAAGTTTTCATTATCCCCAAAACTCAGTACCCTTCCAGAGAAACGCCTCTCCCCCACTGCCTGCAGCTCCAAGTAGCCTCTACCCTGCACTTCCTAATTTTGTCCGTTCCGACTACTGCGCTCAAGCGGAGCCACACAGTATTTGTCCATGTGCCTTATCCATTCAGTTCCATACACGTGACATTTTATCTCCATTCACCTGAGGGCGCACACTTGGGTGGCCCCCACCTTTTGACCGCTGTGAATAACACCGATGTGAACACCGGCGTACAAGCAGAGAGGCCCCCACAGGTGCTCCGCAGAGACCAGAGCTGCCCACACCATCCTGATGCTGGTGGTCACCTTCATCGTCTTCTACATGATGAATTCCACTTTTGCTTTTTATATTACTGTTTTCCTAGACACCCAACTATGGTTAATGAAGTGCTGACACTTTGGCTTTACTTTTTCCTCAGTTAGCCCCTTTTTGCTGATCCTTAGGGATCACAGAACTCCTAGGTTCTGCTCTTCATTTGCTGAAATAAGTTGAAACGGTAAACAGAAGTCAGCTTCTATACAATCCATGATACTGTATTTAGTAATCATTTGTTAACCATTTTTTATCACCTTTTTTCTATGAATGTGCATATCATGTTTATTTTAGCCATTTATAAATGTCCAAGCCAATGGCATTAACCACATTCACAATGTAACATCACTACTGCCCATCCAAGTTTTCATTATCCCCAAAACTCAGTACCCTTCCAGAGAAACGCCTCTCCCCCACTGCCTGCAGCTCCAAGTAGCCTCTACCCTGCACTTCCTAATTTTGTCCGTTCCGACTACTGCGCTCAAGCGGAGCCACACAGTATTTGTCCATGTGCCTTATCCATTCAGTTCCATACACGTGACATTTTATCTCCATTCACCTGAGGGCGCACACTTGGGTGGCCCCCACCTTTTGACCGCTGTGAATAACACCGATGTGAACACCGGCGTACAAGCAGAGTCCCTGCTTTCAATTCTTCTAGTTTTGTCCCTGAGAGTGAATCTGCTACGTCATATGGTGGTTCTATGTGGGACCTGTCGAGAGACGGCCAAAGCGCTTCCCACGGCTACTGCGTCATTTCACTCTCCAGCCAGCAATGGACAAAGGCTCGTTTCTCCACATCCTGACACTTATTTCCCATTTTTTTTATTATGTCCATACTAGCAAGAGTAAAGTGGTATCTCACTGTGGTTTTGACTTGTGTCTTCCCCAGGACTAGTGTGTTGAGCATATTTTAATATACTTATCGACAACTGGTATATTTTTGGAGAAACACCTATTCAAGTCTTGGCCTGTTTTTGCAGTGGGGTGTTTTTGTTACCTTGAGTACTTTATATACTGGATATGGGTCCCTTACAAGACAAATATTTTCTCTATCCTGTGGCTTGTCAGGATGTTGTGCAGCGGAGGACAGTTCTTTAGAGCCTGGTGACTCTCCAGGATGTGAGGACAACTGAGCCACCCAGGCAGAGGGCATCTGAATGGAGATCCAACTGCATCCACCATGCTGCCACTTTTAACACTTCGTGTTGTTCACTCTCTCAAATAACCATATTTACTGTAAAACCTTCTGAGTTAATGTTTAAGTAGATTTAGTTGTTTGGATGGAGTGACAAGCTTTTGTCAACTGGAACATTCCAAAGGCAACACAGAAGCCATTCAGCAACATGAGCTCTGCCGCCATCATCCACCCCTTTGAATGCATGGGGTCACCGGCTGCAGGTGCTCCCCGCGCGCTGCGTCACAGCTCCTCCCTTAGCAGTGACTCCACATCACCTCCGGCCGCCACCACCACTCTGGAGAAGGAAACGTGAGGGGGAAAGAGATCGAACTAAACCTGCTCCGGGTGAATGCTGGCTCAAAGGCAAGATTGTTCCTGAAGGGTATGTGCACACTCATGACACTACTGTCTACACTTTTTTATGTAGAAAACACCATTAAATTTTGTATTTTAAAGACTGTTATATACTCTTGGAAATTATAACTGTTCAAGCTGATATAAAATATGGATGACACATAAAGTTAAATAAGCCATAAAGGTAAAACGAAAACATGAAGACATACTCAAGAGATAACAAAGACAGGGAAAAAAAATCCCCCAGTGTAAAGCATGTTGGAAACCCTGGGGCAGGGAGTGCTTGTCCCAGGCCTGGGGACACTGGGCTCTCAGATGAGGCGGGTGGTGGCCCGAGAGGCCCCACAGGGTACACAGAGGGGCAGGCAGCAAACTTTCCAGTCACATGGGAACATCCTAGGTTCAAGGGCCACGTGGTCCCTGTCACACTCACCCAGTGCTGCCTTCCTGGGTGCAAGCAGCCAGACAATGGGAAAACCAGTGGGGCTGGGTTCCAATAAAACTTTATTTACAAACACAAGCAGGCAGCCCTCAGAACAGGGATTGTTGACCCAAGCTGGGGACTTAGGTGCTGGTTTGGGGGGTTCCCTTCAGCGTGGTACAGGGCATATACGCCCACTGACAGCACAGCAGGGGTGTGGGTGCATGGTGGCCAGGAAGGACTCCACTAGGAGACCAGCCAGGGGGACGGGATCTTTATGGAGAGAGGTGGGGTCTGCAGGAGGAAGCATTTGAGGGTAATCGGGAGGAAGTGGGGCTGGCTGGCAGGGGCTGTGTCTGAGTTTTGTGAAAGGTGAGTGGGTGGACGAGTATGATGGGCATGACCTGGTAGGTCCAGCAGAGCCTGCACCCAAGGGGGCCTGTCTAGCACTACAGACTCCAAGCTCCACCTGCCTCGGTCTCTGGTGCCACCTGCCGTTCCTGGGTGCACACACCCTCCCGCCCAGCCCAGCTGCCTCGTAGACAAACTGGTTGAGTGGTTGAGTGCTTGTCCCCTCTGCCCTCTGAAATGATGCCCTGTTCAGCGGCACCCACACAACCCTCTGCAGCACCAAGGGTGCAGGCAGCTCAGCCCAGAGCCCAGCATCTGGCCGGGGCAAGAGACAAAGAAGCCTGTAGTGTAAGGGACCCCACGGGGCAGGGTGGCTGGCCGCACTCACCCCCATTCAGCTATGGTCAGGTGCCTACACAACCAGTGTGCAGGCCTAGGGGGCCTTACCCAGCAGCTCCTACTGAGAAGCGGTGGCTAGAACGCCCCCCGAGAGACCCTGAGGAGGTACACGCCTACGGGCCTGTGGCGGACGTGCGCTGTGAGGAGCAGAAAGGGAAACACTCGGGCAGTGATGAGCCTAACTTGCAAGCCCGCTGCCGTCAGACAGGTCTTGCTGTGGTCTGTCTCCTCCAGGAGGAAGAGTCGAGACAATCGAGGACCAGCTGCAAACCTTCCCAGTAGAGTGGACCGAGGCATCCATCACGTTACTGCCTCCGCTTCGTTCAAAGCAACGGAAGCCTCCAAGGTGTGGAGTCACGAAGCCCAGGCTTATCAAGGTTGTTGTTCCAGGGCCCGGGTAAACGGGGGGTTGAGGGCCGCTGCCTCCCTGCAGCACAGCCCCCAGGGCTCCGGGAAGCCCGAGATTGGGGCAGTGCTGCCCCGGGCACCCAGGGCTGGCACCCATCCAGGCAATGGCCCCACACCCTCCCTGGCCATCTCCGCGCTCCCCCAGTCCAGCCCGGGAAGAAGCAGCCGCGTGGAGCCACCAACCTCCTCAGCGAGCCCAAAAGCCTCTCCTGGCACCTGATCCTGAACCAGCCACCCACATGGCCCCGGCGCCTCTGGGCCCTGCACAACTGAGTGGTGGCCTGCTCATCCAGTCCCAGCCCTCCAAGCGCCCTCAGGTGGCTGGGAGCCCACCCTGACCCACCCACCGCATGGCAGGACAGGAAGCAGCCGCCACCTCTGGCCACACACACTCCTCTGGATCCACCATCTGTCAGGGGCCCATCTCCCTGTCTGTTTCTGAGGCTCACAGCCAGCCCACCTCACGTTGGCCAGCTCCCCAGGGAGGCTCGGTCACCCTGATCACCAGGGGAGCTCCAGCAGGGGGACTGCTGGGGATGGAGGCAGAGGCTGCCAGGGGGGCCGGCTTGGGTGCTCTCTCTGAGCCCAGGACCTGGAGTGTACACGTCCCCTCGCCCTGGGGCCAGGGCATCTCCTGGGCAAGAGTGAAGGCTGGATGATCTTAGGGTTCCCCAGCCCCGGCACAGCTTTCCCCAGAGCTTCAGAAGCAGAGTTGTAAAAGGAGTTACAGACAATGTGAACCCTAGTCAGGACCCGGCCCGGTGCATTGGAATGGGGGCCCACACAGAGGTGTCCATACCCCCAAGGCCCCTGGACCGTAGGGCCTGGGACAAGCCAACATCCACCTATTGGGCATGACAGCGGCACCCACCTTGGTGGTGGTCTGCAGATTCCCTGGGGTCCAGCAGACAAAGATGGCAGGAGCGCCTGCGGGCCCCTCAGCTCCACCAGCAGTGACTGCCCCAGGTTTCCAAGGAGCACTGAGCAGCCGCGGTCAGAGGCACCAGGGGCGCTAATAAGCATGCGCCCCCTCAGCAATCGCACTCGCCACTGTCCTCAGACACATCACTGAGCCCTGGCGGCTCCCTGAACTCAGCGTGGCTACCACTGACCACAAGCACCTGAGGCTCCGGCCCCAGGAATCTCAGTAGCTCTCCAGGGACCCTGAACCAGCTGTAACTCCATCAGGGCTTAGGACCCCTCCACCCCAAAACATCCCACCCCCACAGAAGCTGAGGGGCAGGCAGGGTGGACCAAGGCTCCTGAGAGAGGCGCAACTCCCAGAGGCCCCCAGGAAGTGAATGGGTGCAGAGCCCTGGACCCAAGGTCAGGGGTCCCACGAATCATGAATGGGAACTTGGGGGGCCACACCCATGAGAATCGCCATTTATTCCCAAAGTTGCCAAAATCATCACCGAGGGCTCACCAAGGGGTGTGGGGTGAGGAGGCTCAAACCTGATGGAGGCCAGCCGGGGGGATGGCAGGGGAACCCCAGCTGTCCCTCCCCTAATGCCACAGGAAAGGGGTCCTCCTCTGGCGCCACCCCTCCCCACCCCCATGTCTAGGTTCTCTCTGGGGAGGTGGGGCAAGGGGTGTGGGAAGAGGGTGTAGTGTGAGCGTGCCCCAGGGGCGGGGCGCGGGGTGGGGGGGCAGGGCCCCTGCTTCACATGCACTCACAACACTGGTCTCCCAGGGAGCGGAAATGGGGACCCGGGTGGGCCAAGCCCCCATGCCATGGATTATAGGAGGAAAGGATTAGTGCTGGGGGCCGGGGGCCCTGGGGGCATCATAGGAGGCAGGCCAGGACCCCCGCCAAGGGGAGAGATGTACGCAGGTGGTGCTCCAGGGACGGGGGGCACAGGGCTCAGCCGGAGCTGGTTCAGGGTGAGCGTCGCAGGGGGCGTGGGCTGGAAGGGGTTGGTGAGGGAGGGGCCAGTGGCTGGGGCTCCTGCAGGAGAGGAGACGCACACAGAATCAGGGGCTGCCCAGTGGGTCGCAGGCAAGACCCTATCCCAGCTGCCGGGGGCCTGCACTCACCACTCGGCAGGAAGGGGTTGGAGGCCTTGGCTCCTGGCGGTGTGGGGCCCGGCCGGCTCACCAGCGAGTCTAGGTCGACAAGGGCTGCATTGGGCCCTAGGAATGACTCCGGAGTCTTCCGTGTGGGTGGCGTAGGGGCTGGGGTGGCCACAGGCGGGGGGCTCCCCACAGCCTCAGCCAGAGAGCCCCCAACCCCACTCATGTCGAATGCCCCTGGACTGCGGGCGGGCACCTCTCCGGCGAGCAGCTCCAGGTCCCCTGCAAGGAGCCAGCGAGGGCTCAGGGAGGCAGGTCTGAGCCCAGGGACAGCTGTCCAGGGACTGCCTGGTGGCCTGAGCTGTGCTGCTCAGAGGACCCACCCAGGCCGACCCCACAAGCCACCACAGCCCAGCCAGGGCCTCACAGTGGTGAACAGGCACCAACAGACCTGGCATAAGAATCCTACCTAGTGTCAACAAACATGCACACTGGCACAGGCTAAGGCCTAGGGAGTGCCAACCTCTGGATGGAAACCTGGGCAATCCCAGGCACAGGGCCATAGCCGGGGCCCTCCTGGTGCAGCTCTGACCGTCCCTGCACCCTGCTTCCCTCAAAGACAAAAGCCCTGGGAAGCAACCACACGCCTCCCACTGAGGCTCCTGTGAAAGCCCCCAGAGCCCCCGAGACAGGGTGTCCACACCATGACAGGAATCCACACCAAGGGACATGCTCCAGACACGGGAACCCACTGGGGGATGCCGGGCAGCTAACCGCTCCACAAGAAGGGAACGCGAGGCCTAGAACGCCCAGGGCCACCGTGGAGAGGGCGCTGGGCCGAGACACAGAGGGCAGCTGAGGACCCAGGCACCACGCCCCGAGGGACAGAGGGCGCAGCGGCCTGGCCCTCGGACACGCAGACAGAAGCACAGGAGGCTGCACCACACCCACGCCTCCAGGAACAGAGAAAGCAAAGAGCTCGCGGTTTGGGGAAGCCCCATACTTCTCAGTATTACTTCGCAAATCTTCTCCAAAATTATTTCAGAATAAATTTTTAAAGATGTGCAATGGACTATACCTCAACAAATCTGTCAAAAAGCCAGAGATGGGCACTGGGCCCACGCCAGGAGCGGCAGCCCCACCCTCGGGCAGCCCGTCCCTGCAGGGCATCTGAAGAGCCTGGCGGGGCGGCCGGGAGGCTTACCAGTGCTGCTTCCCGAGGCCGGCAGTGCTGTGCGCAGTCGGTCGAAGTCAGAAAATTCGTCGGGCTCCGTGTCAAAGCCCCCGACTGCTGTGGGGATCAGGACGTCCGCTCAGCTCCCTAGGGGACCAACCTCCAGCCCCCACCCCTCCAGGCAGAGGAGACTCTCCTGGCCAGCCTGCCCCCATTCCCCCAGTACCTGTAGTGCCATTGCTGCTGGGCTGGGCAGGTGAGGCCCCCCAGGGGTCTGAGAAAGCTGGGGCTGGGGCCCAGGGATCAGAGGCTGGCGTTCTACCGACTGTGGCCCCACCTGGGAGAGGCCGTGAGAGGCATGTGAGAGGCCAGCAGGGTCTGTGTCCTCTGAATCTGTGACAGCTCACAAACAAAAGCCACCCCCCCAGAACCCCACCTGCAGGCCCACCTGCCCAACACCCCAGCCCTGCCCTCTGCCCTGAGGACAAGCACCAGGATGGGCAGCCATAGGCACTCAATGCACCAGGCCTCTGCCCATGCACCCCCGTCCTGGCAAAGGCCTCCACAGCCCTGAGGACTCTGGGAAAGCCCCCCAACCAGGGTGAGGGGCCACGTGCACACTGCCCACTATGCTGAAGCCCCCATGGCTCCCTGGCCCCTGCCCAGCTGCCTGCCCAACTCCACCCCTAGGCCCCCAGTGCCCTGCCTGCTGCCCCTCAAGCCTCCTTCATCAGCACCGCCCCCTAAGGCACGGGCCCCCACAGCTGCCTGCCATCACCTGGCTGGGTCTGTCCCCACCCCGGGGCGTGCCCAGGAAGTCGGTGGGAGCTGGGGCAGGGCAGCCAGCACTCACCATCTGAGTTCCCCCACGGGTCAGGCATGGGACCCTCTCCAGCTGCAGGGGCCTGGGTCCCACCCCACGGGTCAACTGGGGGCCCCGCAGGGGCAGCAGGCCGCCAGGGATCCCCTGAGGCCGGTGTAGGCGCTGGACCACCCCAGGGATCAGCAGCCGGAGGGACAGGAGGGGCCCCCCAAGGGTCCGAGGCAGGGGCAGCTGCAGGGATGGCAGCAGTCACGGGCACTGGGCCCCCCCAGGGGTCTGATGCCGGCGGCGGAGCCGGGGCTGTGAAGACGTCTGCGAGATCCATGAGGGAGGACTGCAGGGAAACAGGAAGCACGTGAGGGCCGGCGGGGCAGGGGGCCGTGGGACGGCCAAGCCACAGCGGGGCACCCAGTCCTTGGGACGGGAAGCGGGACAGGCAGCCCCATACTGCGTCCCCGCTGTAGTCCCGCTGTCTGCCCCCGCTGGCCCTGGCCCATGAGCCCTGCCCACCTCCTCCCCCATCTGCTCCCCAACCACCATGACGTGCTATTCCTCTGCCCTCCCAGGCCACCACCCTGTGATCGCAGGTCACCCTCTATGTCACTGCCCACACCTCCCCGTGCCCTGCGGGTGGGCCCAGCTGAGAGAGACCCTGTCTCTCTGGTTGTTGAAAAACCCCCATCCCCTCCCTAGGACAGTATGAAAACAGGGGTGGGGGCAGCAGTGGGTGCAGCCCTGGGCATTTTTCTCCGGGGCCCTGCTGAGCCAAGTGGGCTACCCAGGGCCCTTGGGCCCAGGCTGGCCAACCAAGAGCCCAACTCCAGCTGACCAGCAGCCAAGCTGTTGGCTACCCCCCCATCAGGAGGGTCTCCGTCCCACCCCTGGAACCTGGGCCAGGCCCATGACCACACATCCCCGTCTGCAAGGTCACCCCTCCACAAAGATGCTCAGGACCCCCCCCCATCAACCAGTGCGAGGCCACAGGAAGAGGCCATGGGAGTGACCCCAACTGTGACACACATGGCAGTGTCTCCTGCTGTTCCCTTCACCCGTCCTGGCCCCGCCCTGGCAGCCACACCCAGTGCCCATGGTGCCCCAAGCCCACCCCGAGCATCTTCCTGCCTCCTACAGCTCGTGAGCAGACACGCCAGTCCTGAGCAGGACAGGCAAGGAAGGACCAGAGCTGATGGGGAGGGGGCAGCAGGCGCAGGGCATCCCCCTCACCTCCTCCTGGCCACCAGTCTCCCGTCTGCTCTCCTCGATGGCCATCTGCAGCCTCAGGTCGTCCCCTCGGCGGATCCGCTCTTCCTGCGGGGCCGGAGCAGGTGGGGGGCGGGGGGTGAGTGAGTCCGTCTGCCCACCTGACTAGACAACACCCGAGAACCCACTCCAGCCCTGAGACAGAGGTGACTAGAACGTAAAATGGGATGTGGACAATGTGTGGGATGGGGGAACACGGTGGGGGCGGGGGCAGGCAGGGCGGGAAGAGCATGCGGGTAGGGCACAGGACACAGAGCCCCTGTGCAGGGACAGGCCAGGCTGACGCTGCTCTCACAGGCTCGGGCAGCCAGGACTTCGGGGTGTATTCTGCATTGGGCGGGGGCAGAGGGAAGAGCCTGCCGCACGAGACCTGCCTCACGTCCGCGTCTGCACAGGCCCCACAGCTAGGACACCTCGAGTGGGGAGTGTGTCCGCTACACGGGCCAGCGCAGGTGAGAGCCTTGGGAGGGTGTGAGGAGGCGGGGCCTGCGGAGGGTCTGAGGGGAGCCCTGGGAGGGTGGGGGGGCTGCTCTGACCTTATCGTGCTCCTCACGGCTCAAACTAAGGGCCAGCTGGAGCTGGACGTCATCCTCGGGGCCGCAGGACGGGGGCTGGGGGAGAGAGAGTGTGACGGGGTGGGACAGGAGAGGGAGGCGGGGGAGAGAGGGAGAGAGGGACACACAGACACAGCAGAGACAGACAGCCAGGGCGGGACCGACCCAGAATCATAGCATGTCGGTCACCCAAACTGCTGAGAGACAAGCATGGGGGGGGAAGAAACGGGCCTCCTGAGGACAGGACAGAGCGAGGAGGCCGGTGGGAGGGTGGGCGGGGCAGCGCAGAGACAGAGGGGACAGAGGGGACAGAGGGGACAGAGGCGCAGCGGGGGTGCCGAGGGGCGGCATGGAGATGGCACGGCGAGCGGAGGCTGGAGCGGGCCGCGGCGCCCACACAGGCCGAGCTACCTGGTCGGCCTCCTCCTTGCTCATGGCCAGGGCCAGCTGGAGCTGCAACTCCTCCTCGCCGCTGCTCTGCGGCCACGCCTGCTCCGCCTCCGGTGGGGGCCCGGAGCCCACAGCTGCAGAGGAGGCTGTGGGGAGAGCCGGGTGAGCACAGCCGGGGGGCAAGGGGGGAAGCCCGCAGAGGGCTCCCGCTTCCAGGTGGGCCTCTGGAATCCCTGCGTGCCCTCAGGCCTGACCGTCCCACCCCCCAAGAACCCCATGGGACCCAGACGCCAGGTTTCTCAAGGGGGTCAGGGAAGCACAGACTGCTGGCCGGGGGCCCAGTGGGCTGACAGGCCCAGACTCCTGACCCCTCCAGGCCTCAAAGTCCTTCCTCGCTGGTCTTCAGGCCCAACCCTGGGGGCAGAGGCCGGGGAGTGGGGTAGATGCTCCCCAGGGACCAGCTGGGGGCTGGTGGAAGGATGGGCACCTGCAGCCCAGACCCCTGGGCATGGCTGGGAGTAGGGGGCGGCAACCCGCCAGTGTCAAACAAGGAAAGGATGGAGACATGGAAGGAAGAGGCCTGGCCATCGCCAAGGACAGATGGGCGGGGCAGAGCTCAGCTGAGCTGGGGTGTGGCAGGATTGACAACAGCCCCCACAGTCCTGACCTCCGACCCTGGGGACCAGGGGGAGGGGAGGGAGGGCTGGGCACTGCAAAGAAGGCTCAAGGGAAGGGAAGGGCACAAGTAAGCCGGCGGACCAGAACCGGGGACCAGAACCCAGGCCGAGGCCAAGGCATGGGAGAGGAGGGCGTCGGGGAAGGCCTGAATCCACAGCCTTGGGCCTGCGGCCAGGGAGGAGTGGGTACAGGAGGCCCCCTGGAGAGGGCAGAAGGCCCAGCCCCTGGGCGCCCAGGGGCCTCACCAGTGGCGGTCTGCGCAAGCTTCTCCTTGGTCTTGAGTGCATGAGCGCGCTCCTCCCGCAGCCGGTCCTCATCGCGCAGCAGGGCCACCAGCTGCTTGGCCTTCTCGCGCACATTCACACCCTGGTCCTTGCCGTCACGGTCCACGTACTGGAAGTCCTTCAGCGTCTGCACCGCGTACATGTTCTCCTTGCACTGCTGCGAGACGCGCTCCGAGCCAGTCTTGATGAGGTACTCCATCAGCGTCATGGCCTGTGGGCGGGAGTGTACTGGCCACTCCCACAGCCTCCGGGAGCAGGGCCCCGGCGCCAAGCCAGGCCATCAGCAGTGTATAAACAGGCCTGGCCCACCCACACGTGGGGTGCCACATGGCCAGAAAGCATGAGGCACTGACACAGTTACCGCTGGGGTGAACCCTGAAAACATGCTGAGTGGAAGACACCAGACACCAGAGCAGATGGGCGGCCATGTTTACTAGAAACATCTGGGCCAGGCAAATCCCAAGGGAAAGCAGACTCGCGGTGGCCTGTGGCTGTGGGAGCAGGGAGTGGGGTGCCTCCTAAAGGGTGAGGGTTTCTTTCTGGCGGTGACGAAAATGTTCTGGAACTGACAGCAGTGAGGGCTGCACACCACTGGAGGTGCCTCGTGCCACCAGGCCACCACAAGCATGGACGGCGCAGCATGTGGCTCCCGCACGTCTCGGTAAAAGACAGGGAAGGGGAAACGCCACGCAGTGCAGCTCCCGCTCCACTACTCTGCAGTGGAATCTAACACAGTGCGGACAAAAGCCCCACGCCCCGAGCCCCCAGGAGCACGCCAGCACATGTGTCAGCCGGTCTGTAAGTGTGAGACGTGTCATGGTTGAAGTGTAAAACTTCATGCTAACACAGGTGGCTCTGAAGACGGTGTGGTGGTGGCAGCTCTCCCACCTACTCTGGGAGGAAGGGACCGTGCCCTCGAGGCCTGTCCGGGCCAGAGCTCTCTGGGGGAGGACACAGCGTACTGGGAGTAGTGGGGACAAGTGGACAGGGAGAAGGGAACACACTTTGGTATCTTCTGCATCTTACGGCGTGAGAACAAACTCTCTCTCCAACAAGTTAAACTCAATGGGAAAAAACAACCCACCCCATGAAGGCCTTATGGTCTGAGCCCAAACTCCAAGCTGGTCTGGGGAGCAGGGTGAGGGCTCATGGCCCCTTACAGACTCTGCAGGAGGCCATGGCGCCATCCACAGGCAAGGGCACAGCTTGGGCTATGCAGCCAATTCCAGGGCTTTCAAGGGGCCCCCGAGAGCCACCCAGGCCCAGAGTAGAGTTAAAAACCAGAGCGAGTGGCACCACTGTGGCGAAGCTGTCTGAACGGCGGTGCACTTTGCCTGGGAATGCACCGTGGGTCATTAACAGCCCCAATCTTCCAGGGAGCCAGGCCTAGGTCAGGCACAGCGTCCTCTAAGTGTGTTAACAGTGTTTACATCGATAACCCAAGATTAGTCTTTAACTGGCCCTTGAGAGGCATTTACACAGCAGAGCTGAGAGGCAAAGTTAACACCTGTGCGTGGCAGGCAGGCTCCAGGACTCTTCCTGAGTTTGAACCAGAAAGAGCACACCACCCTCCCTACGTGACAGAGCTCCCCAAGCAGAGGCTGTCCCGAGAGTCGCCCTGCGTGGGGCCGACCAGCACAAGCACATACCACACCTCCGTCCAGTGTGGGCCTTGAGCCAAACAAACCACAAGCACTTTCACTCTCAGAGCTCTGGGACTTTGGAACAGTAGTTACAAAGGTTGTGAACCCGGAAATAACCCAAACACCCCTCCAGGGTGAAATGCACATACTGAACCTGTGCTGTGCTCACACGACGGACCTGGCACACCCACACCGACATGAGTGAACACACCGGGGCTACATGCCTCAGCCTCCCAGCACAGCCTGGGCAAAGGAAGCAGACACCTGAGACGCTGTGCCACACGGGCACACGTAAACACGTTTCAGAACCTCCTGGGCACACAGTGCTGCTGCCTCCAGGGAGGGCATCCTGGGCCAACCTCCTGCAGGGGGACATCCCCGCCTCCAAGTGGGGGTTGCCCAGGAGCGCACACTCGCAAGAGCTGATCAGGCTGTTGGCTCATGACACGTGCCTAACAGAAAATGAAAAAGTCTTTTAAAAGTGGGTGTCAGGACTTCCCACAGTCCGTGTTAATTTTCAAAACAGTTTGGCCAAGGATGTCCTGGGACATCAGAACACAAGCCTGTTTAAAACACAGGTCAGCCAACTTTTCCTGTCAAGCACCAGGTAATAACTATTTCAGCTTTTCAGGCCACGGGGTCCGCGTCCTGACCACTCAGCGCTGACCCAAGGCTACAAAGGGCGTGGCTGCATGCCGGCCAGACATTCCATACAGATGCAGACACTGGGCAAGTTCAGCCTGTGGGCCACAGCTCACTCGCACCTGGTTTAAAAACTAAGCGCTGAGGCCCTGCCCTCCTCAGAGAGGACAAGTAGCACAGCCAAGTCAAGATGGGGGGCTCCAGGCCCCCCAGTCCCCCAGCACCCTAGGCAGCCCTGGATCTCCTGCACCTCAGTTTCCCCATCCAGACAACGGAGACAAGGCAAGTGCCTCTGCAGATCTTGGCAACAGCAGCGTTTCCCCCGCAGCCAGTCAGGAGCCTGGCACAGGCCCCTCGGACTCACCCCCTCGGTGAGGACGGCCAGCGCCTGACCCCACAGCCCATGGAGTTGATGCCCCAACCCCAGCTTGTCAGCATGGCCATGAAAGTGAGCCACAGCCAGCCAGCCACATGTCCCTGCTCCAACCACAAGCAGCGCAACCTCTCTGGGCCTCAGCCTCCTCCCCCAGAGAGGAGGGAACCACCCACCTCCGCAGGGCAGAGGCCCCACGGGCACGGGCACCAGTGTGAGTTCACGAGACCAGGGCCATTGCCACTCTCACCCACACCGCACGGAGCAGGCCCTTGGCCCCAGTTCACTAAAGGAACACTATGAGCCTCACTCACCAACACCAGCCCAGCAGTCAGCCTCCCAGGGAGGCAGGTCCATGGGCTGGCCCAAGGCCACACCACCAGGAGTGGCCCTGGCCACCTGCTCCAGCCCACCCCTTGTGCGGGGACACCAAGCCCCAAAGCTGCAGTCAACAGGACCCTCTCACTGGGCGCCACCTCAGCGCACCCCTCCGCCCAAAGCATTCGCTGCCTGCTCCTGCCTCAGGACAGTGATGTGCATGCCACTGGGGACGAGCCCACAGACCACTGCTGGAGAGGGCACTTCAGCTACATTTAACAAAATGACACGTACACACATTCTCCCACCTACAAATCCCAGTTTTAGAAAAAGACAAACGAACACAGATATTTGCAGCAGTCTCATTTGAAAAAGCTCAACACTGTAAACTACTAGAAACCCCATCCCCAGGTGGGTGGTCACGTCAACTGTGATCAACCCACCCGTGGACCAGCAATGCAATTGTAGTGAACCAAGTGACAAACCTCTCATGTCCTATGGGAAGCACTCTCTAGTAAAATATGGCCTCACTGTGCTTTTTAAAATCGGGTTGTACCTTACATACAGGTAAGTTCACTCCTGACTTACTGGTCCGCGTTCTGACAATGGCCCAGCCACCACTGTTGAAGATATGGAACAGTTCTGTGCCCCCAAGTCCTGTGCCACCCATTTGCCTGGAGGCACAACCACAGATACCCCTCCAGAGGAAGACACAACAACATCTGGGGACACAGCTTCCTCCAGGAGGGAAGCAGGCTGTGGCACACAGGCAGACACTGCACCACTCAGGCTTCCAGAGAGGACGAACCTTGTGAATGTGACATTTCTCCAAAGACAAGTTTAAATCACAAGCCTCAAAATCCTTTAAATACTGTCTTCTGCCTTCATTAAAACAGAGAAGAGTCCAGCTCCTCCTGAAATCTGAGAGGTGCAACTGACCGAGGCGCCTTTCCCACCCAGGTGGCCCCTCTGTCCCATGCTCCCTGCTCACCCACACGGGGCTGCTCAGAGCCCAGTGGCAGGCCTGGGCACTGACCACAGCCCCTCTCCCACCTGGCAGCCGGCTCCCACCCCAACCACATGGGGCTGCGTGGAGCCCCACCTGCGGGCCTGGGCACTGACCTTATACACATGCCGCCAGTTCTTGCCATGGTCATTGAGCCGCTTCCAGATCATGCTCATGATCTCCGAGAAAGCCACAACATTGTAGGTGAGGTCGGCGATCTCCGACATGAGGGAGCTGGATGGGCCCCAGGGGTCGTTGCTTGTGGCTTCGCGGACCTTGATCTCAGCCTCTGAGTAGTTGTGGACAATGTTCTTCATCTGGCGCCTCAGCGACGAGGTCGACATGGTGGCCAGAGGCGGCACAGGGGCTGGGCCCACCCCAGGTGTGGAGAGACGGGGCAAACCGAGGAAGAGGGCCACAGCAGGGGCTGGTGGGTCACCGCATCTGGGGAGGAGAGGGCCTCTGGAAACACTAGCAGGACCTGGGGTTGTTCAGCCTGAACCCTCCACCCCCATGGGGCTCCCCACGTCCCTCACGGCTGAGGACGAGGCCCTCCCCGTGGCCTACCGGGTTCTCTGGCCCTTGTTAACCTCTGCCTTAATCAGCCAGTCCAGGTTTCAGTTCCTCAATCGCGCCCAGTGCCTCCCTGCTGAGGGCCCTGCTCGGTGAAGCACACTACAGCCCAGAGGGGCACAGCCCTTTCCAGCCAAGCCAAGGACGCCTGCAGCTCAGTTTCCCCCTTGCAGCACGGGGTTTCGCTGGTGACCCACGAGCTCTAGGAAGCCGGTGAGCGGGAAGTATGCTGTAAACAGGGGTGGAGTCCGAGACGGTCACCCCAAGCATCCCCCGCACCCCGGGGCTCTGGAGGAAGCCTCCCAGATCTTAAGCACCCAGGCAGGCACCACAGCTGCTGGCCCTCATCTGCAGACTCAGTCACCCTCGTGACTTAGTCTGACCCTTTGGTTGAGGCCGGCCTGAGAGCCCCAAATAGGCAGACCTGCACTTGTGGGGATGTGGCTGCCCCCATCAGAGGCGCTGGCCCTTTACTTACTGAAAAGCCATTCAGTACACAGACCCGGAAGGAAGGGAAGGAGGGGGGCAGGAAAGACCTCTGGAGCAGGGGTGGAGGCAGGCAGAATCCACAAGAGAGGTGGACACACAGGGAAGGGGCCGATGGAGGGAGAACAGTGATGGGGAGATGAGGTGCCCCAGGGCGAGGGAGCCAGAGGCTGAGGGCAGGACAGATAAAGAACAGCACAGCCTGCAGGCCAGGTCCCAGCTGCCTGCCGGACGCTCAGTGGGCACAAGACCCCATTATTTCACTCAAGACTGTGGCATCCTAGCTGGAGATGGGGGTTCACAGAGACTGTGACTCAGCCAAGGTCACATGCAGACATGGCAGTGCAGACTCAACCCCAAGCCCACCTGGACTCCAAAATTTACACTGCAGAGAGGGGGGCAACACAAAGGAGGCAGAAGGGTGGGAATCAGGCAGAACATGCCAATCATGGCAAGCAGACTCAGCCTGGCCCTGTGCTGGCCACTCCTGTATGGGCTTCATACACAGCAACTCAGTTCATTCTCACAACTCCAGGATTCACAGCCACATCACAGGGGAGGAAACTGAGGCACAGAGAGGTGGACTCCCCTGCCCTGGGACACAGGCCTCACCCACAGAGGAGCCTGGTGCCAGACTGGGCTATGATCACCACAGTCCACAGCCTGCCCAACAAGCCACAGACACAGATCTGCTGGGCCCTCCAGCTACCTAAATCCTGGGAGAGGCATCTGGCCCCTGCCTTGAACACAGGCTGGAGAGCCAGGCACTGGAGACTGATGTAGATAATTTAAAAGAGTCGGCCAGGGTGCCAAGACAGGCCCAGCCAGACACACAAAGGTGATGAGCTGACATGACAAATACAGAAAAGGAGACAGAGAGAATAAGGAGTGAGTCAAGGAAAAACTGGCACAGAGAAATAGGGGCAAAAGAGCTACCGAGAGACATGTGAGACAAACACAACAATGTGGAAAGGCAGTGAGGCAGGTCAGAGAGAAAAGACAAAGGCCCTGAAACAAAAAGAGGCAGTCACCAGTGGCTGAGAAATAACACAAAAATGGGATACCGTGGGAAGAACAGGAAATGGGGGTCCAAACCCTGGCCATCAGCTACCAACAGAGCAACCTCCTTGAGATTGTTTGATCAGCCTTTGAAACGAAGGAAAGAACTCCTACCTGGCAGGCTTGTCAATTAAATAAGATGGGTACATAAAGTGCTTGGCACCATGCCCCACAGACAGCAGCTCAGTAACACTGGCTGCTATTATTACTGGAGAAAAAAAGAACGTTCCCAGAAGTGCGGTATCGGAAGCTGCACTAAATTCCGTATGCTTGTATTAACGTGCGTTAGAAAAAAACTTCAACTTAACACACCAAAGCTTTCACAGACACTGCTTAAAATGGGACTGGTTTTCAAAATAAGCTGATTCAAAGTGAAATGTTAGATTAAACAGAAGACACACAATACAGTAAATCTCTCCAAGAGGTCCTCGAAAGACCAACATCAAACACTGCGTGTGTGGAACAATTTTTAACAATGGCAACCAGTGCTGCCAACAGTTAATTACAAACTTACTACGTGCCAACAGCATTAGGCACCTTAGAAGCATAACCTCCAGGAACAGAGAGGCCTTACCATGGAGGAACTATGAACATCCTGACTTTAAAGCCTGGGAAACCGAGGTTTGGAAATGGGAGAAGTCACCTGACCGAAGATCGCAGGTTGCGGGCAGTGAGCCTCGGATTCCAGAGACCCAAGCCCCTGGAAGAGGGGGCGGATCCTAGACCCGCGCGGAGGACCCTCGGGCTTGGAGGCTGGGTAGAAGGACAAAAACGAAATGGGAAGGCGGGGAGAAGAGGCAGAGATCCGAGAGGTCGGGGGAACTGAAGACGTGGAATGCCGGAGACACGAACACGAATACTGACTGTCAGACCCCGAGGCGCGTCAGAGGCAGAGGGAGGCCCGGGGCAGGCCGGCGGAGGGGCGCGTTGACAGACCAGACGCACACGGGCACCCGAGAGACGCGGGCCCGGCCGCCCCGGCGCATACACACGACGACCGCGGGGACCACCAGGGGCCGACACGGGACAGACGCCCATTCCGTTCGCCGCGCCCCGGCCCGCGCTCACCTCGGCCCCTCACGCCGGGCTCCAGGGGGTCATGGCGGGCTGCCCCCTGCCCGCGCTCGGCCTCGGTGTCGCGGGCGCGCTCCGGGCCCCGCGGGCGGCGGACGCGGAGGCACGGTCGGACGCACGCGCGGACGCACGGAGACCCGCACGCCGACGGCCCCGCCGCCCCGGCGCCCGGGAGGGGCGCAGAGAGCCGGGCGGGGGAAGGGAGCCGCCGAGCGGACGGGAAGCTACCGAAGCGGCGACGGACCGGAAACGGATGTGGCCGCCCGCCCCGCCCTCCGCGCCGCACCCGCCCGCGCTACGTCACTTCCTGTCAGCGGCCCGTCCTGGCACTTCGTCTCCTTCCTTCTGTCGCGCCAGGTCGCCGAAAGGTAGACCCGCACGCTCGACTGCACGATAGGACAAGAACCGCGTCATCTCCAACCCCAGCCGTGCCAGCCCCATGCCCGGGAGTCCACGCCCCCGCCGCCCGGGCTCCCCTGCTCCGTGCGGGTGAGAACGCCCTAGCGGGGCAGGTCCGCCGTAGCCTGCTCTCCGGGCCACGCCCTACGCCCAACCACAGCAGGACCACGCGGGCGAGATGTGCCCCTCGGGGCATACCAAGGGCACCCGGGCGCCCTGCAGGGAAGAGACGCTGCGGACCAGGCTTCCGAAGCGAAGCCCACCCTGAGGCCCAAGAAAACCCCGCCCCACCCGGCAAGGGAGAACGGGGGCAGGTCACACACCGACACAAAGCAGCTCCATGAAGTAAAATACAACAAAATGTTTAATGAGCAAATTCGTCTTAGCAAATATGAAACTGCCACAGAGAGGAGGAGGGGCCGGGAGTCATGGGGCTGGGGGAAGATCAGGGAGACTAAAGAGCATCAACTAGGTTAAGAAACCGGGGAGAGAATGGGGAGAGGACCAGAGGCCAAGAGGACAGGAGCTGTGGTCCTGCAAAGGGAGAGGGCAGGGCACCGCGGGCTGGACAACAAAATTCAAAATAGTTTGGCCATAAAATATAAACACACTTATGTATCTACCATGGGGAAGGGGAGGAGAGGGGGTAATAAGGGGTAAGAGGCTGTTTGGGGAGGGGCTATGGGGTCCTACCCTGCCCTGCTGTGCACCCCCCTCTTCATCCGGACCCCTTCCCTCTGTGTCTGTGGGTATTTGTCTGGGGGCCTGTGCACGCAGTTCTCCAGTCCCCTCCCCCAACCCTCCATCCCACCCACCCCCACCCTTAATTGCTGCCATTCCAGTTGCTGCCGGCTGTCATTCGGCTGTCACTCCTCTGCCCATCATCTTCAGAGGGAAGAAGGGGGGCGCACAGGAGAAGCCCCCAGCCAGCCTGGCCCCCCACCCTCCCCTGCTGCCTCTACCAGAAGTCCCGGCGGTGGTAAGAGTCGGGGTCACAGTATTTTGTGACGACCACTCTGTTGGCGAACTTGCGGCCTGTCAGGCCCTGCATGGCTTTCTGGCAGTCAAACACAGAGGTGAACTCCACAAAGATCTGCGGGAACAAGAGACAGGTTGTGAAGGCCAGGTGACCTCTTGGCCTCCAAGGATGAGCTGGTTCAGTCACAGCAACCAGCCAGCATAACCCAAACCCAGAACTCCGCAGGAGGAAAAAGAGCATCAGCCATAGGTCTGGAGGCATTTACTCCAACATTCTCCGGACCCCCAGGATCAAAGAACAAGAGCGCCAAGCAGAGACGTGCAGAAGCATGGACAGTGGGAAAGAGCAGAGGCAGCTCAGGTCAAGAGCCACAGAGGACAGGGGCAAGCTCCTTGTGGAGAGGGGCTGTTTGTGTTCAGCGTCTCCCCCCTACACCTGCAAGGTGCTGGGCACCTGGATTAGCCACGCCAAAGACCACGTTATCCTTAGACAACAGATGACATAAAGGAAGCTCAGAAATTAGGATTCAAACCCAGGATAACTCAGAAGAAAAAACTTCAATCTTCATCAACTGATGCTTGTCTTGCTTATTAAACCACCAGTTTATAGGAAGTGGAGGGAGAGCAGGATACAACCAGCCTAATTCAGAACAGAGGGATTAAGATAAACGCCCTGTTGCTTCAAAATGGCTTGTAAAAGAAAAAAGGGAGGGGGGGAGGGGGGAGTTAACACAGAACTGATACATTGCAAGTCAGACCACACTGAAGGGGCCCGTGTGGACGCCTACTCACTCCAAGAGCTGCACTGACCACTGCGGGACAGTCTGAATGTAACGAGGGTAGACACACTAAGGGTAATTTTCCCAATGTAACAGTGTGGTGGCTACATTAATATCAAAAGTTTTCTTAAGTTTAGAGCAGTAGTTCTCAACCAAGGTGAATGTGTCCCCAGGTGACATTTGGCAACGTCTGGAGACATTTCTGGCTGTCACAAAGCAGGGCGTACTAGTGGGTAGGGGCACAACACCCTACAGCTCGCAGCACATATTCCCGAAGCCAAGAGTGACCGGGCCAAGATGCTAGTAGGTGTTAGAGAAATATACTTAAATACCTCAGGGGAGATACGAGCTATACTTTAAATTATTTCAGCAAGTAAAAGGAGGGTGGGAGGCTAAATATAGGAATCAAGTATTGGGTAACCTGAACTGGGTGATGGGGCACTACTCTATCTGTGCTACGTAAGAGTTTATCTGTATGTTTGAAAAGAAAAAGTCTAAAAATAAACACCTGATCAGAGTCCAGGCAGGTCTTTCCATTTGTTCCTCCCGCAAATACTCAGGCCCCATTTGAGCCTGGCTCCCATGTAGTGTCGACAGCACTGAATCAAACGGATGTGTCGGGAAGCTGGTGTCTCCACCACACAGTGAAGAGTAGCCAGTGGAACGAGAGAAGGCTGCCCACCTTCTGCCTCCGCCCATCCCTGGGCCCCCGGCCCGTGACACTTCCCCTGCTCCCTGGACAAGTTCAGTCAGCCTGAAGCCCAAGCTAGCAGCACTGTGCCCACGGTGACAGGGTTTCTACCTGACCTCAGGCCTGGACTGCGCCTCTCCCAGCTCACTGCTCCTTTCACATCTCTGCTGGTAGGTCAGGACCCTGAAGCCAGCCCACCAGCACGGTCTTCCCCTCCCTGAAACCTCACTTCCCTTGCCTCTCACATGCCTTTTCCATGCAGTGACCATGGCCAGGAGTCGAGCGTGTCACTGGGCTCCCCGCCCCGTAGCCTGCACACCCACGTCGCCCACCAGGCCCAGGCATTTACTGGCTGATATGCCCCAAGGCCACTGGCATCCTTTGTCCTCCTGCCAGCTCTCTAAACCAGGTCACCATCTTTTCACCCAGACTTCGCAAGCTCCCAAAGCGCCAACCATCACATCGCTGTCACCTCTCAGCCTCTCCAAACTTCCAGACTGCTTTGAGCCCCATGCCCACCCTGGCCTCACTGTAAGGGGCCAGGCATCTGACCATAGTCGAGACCTTCAGAGCTTCCTCCCTCCTGCTCAGAGGAGCCCCCACCTTCTAATCCTCCTGGGCTTGCCGCCCTTTAAGAGCTGCCATGCTGGCCCAGTCCCTGGCCACCTCCTCACCATGCTCTGCTCTGGCTACTCTGGCCTTGTCGTTGTCCACAAACACACAGGGCAGACTCCTGCCCCAGGGACCCTGTGCTTGCTGCACCCCCTGATCAGGACCCCACCTGCCTATCGGGCTAACCAGGCCTCACTCAGGCCTGTGTAAGGCCACTTCCTGACCTTGACCTTCCTGTCTAAAGCAGAGCCCAGGACAATCCAGCTCCTCCTACCTATACAGCACGTGTGCTGTCAGTACCCAGGCTGGCTGGCCCCAGCACTGCCTGCTGGCAAGAAGAACACCCAACTCTGAGCGGCTAGGTCAGCAGGCGAGCAGTCCCCACCTCCTGGGGGTGATGTGAAGTGTGACACCTGGCATGCCAGAGTGACCTGGCTCTGTGGGCTCCATAATCAGACTGCAACATCAGAAGCCTGACCATTTGGCTGTGTCCTGGAGGAAGGGCCCGGGCAGCTGCCACAAGAGGTCAAGGGTCATGCAGGTAGAGGTTCAAGAGGGTTGCAGCTGCCCTGCTTTTAACACCTTCCTCCCTACTCTACACGTAGGGTCAAAAACCTTGCAGCACAAGGTCACAAAGCAGTGAGGTTCCGAGCCCAAGCCACCAGAGCCTGAGGCCTGGCCACATTCTGGGTCATAACTGGGAGCATGTGCATGCATGTCAGAGAAGAGACACACAGAGGAGGCGGGGGTGAGGTCGCACACATGTCAAGAGGCGGAGACAGAGTCGGGTGGGGGGACGCACCTTCCCACAGCCAGGCACCTCCACACCGTCCACGGGCCGGGGGATCTCGATGGACTTGACCAGCCCGTACTTGCTGCACTCGTCGCGCACATCCTCCACGATCTCCTCATATTCCTCATCATCCAACAGCTCCTCAGGCAGCACCATATTCATGAGGCACAGGACCTCCGTCGGGTGGCCACCCATCTGCACCTGGGAGCTCATCAGCCCCGGCACTTGCAGCGTCACGGGTGTCTGGTTGATGGTGCTCTGTGGGGCGAGTGGGGGCAAGCGTCACATGCTGGCCGGGCACCCTGTCAAGGCCCGCCTCCCGGCCAGCTCCCCCACAACACCAGACTGCAACCCAACGAAAACTTCACCCTGCCCTTGAAGGCCCAGGTGCCCACTCCCAATGCTGCCCAGGAAAGCTGGGCACAGAGTATAGGGCCAGCCTGCCCCAGCCCCGCCCAGCCACTTCCCACCCCCCAGGTGAGCCTCTAGCCAATGAAGATGACGTGCCAGGGGGCTCACCAGCGTGGCATTCTTGGCTCCCACACTCGCCCTCTGGACTAGCAGTTTCTTATCCCCCAGCTGCATCCCATTAAGCCCTGCGATGGCCTGCATTTGGGGGATGACAGGTAGGGTGCAGGGGAGAGGAGCGGGTCAGGGGCCAGGAGCCTACCACCTTCCCCTCAAGTCCCAATACCCCAGAGCCGGGCATTGGTGGGGGAGAGGAAGGCCAAGGGGTGAGAGCATGGGAAGAGCTGGAACCACAGGTAAGAAGCTGGCTGAGTGCCCCACACAAGGACCTGCTTTAGGCTGGCCGCCTCCCACCCAGCCCAAGGGGAGACAGCACGGCACAGGGTGGGTCGGGGGAAGGGCAGGTGGGCAGCACCAGGGCCCAGG